TCCATCTCAACATCCTCATTTCTGCTACTTTTATCTTCTGGATATGTGAATTCTTGACTGGCCAACACTCAGCTCCATACAACATGGTCGTTCTAACCACCACTCTATAGAACTTACCTTTGAGTTTCGGTGGCACATTCTTGTCACACAGGACTCCAGACGCTAACCTCCATTTCATCCACCCCTCCCCAATACGGTGCATAATATCCCCGTCGATTTCTCCATCTCCCTGGATAATTGACCCTAAGTACTTAAAACTTTCTCTCTTGAGGATGACCTATGAGTCAAGCCTGAATTCCACATCCGCTTCCCCCATCACGTCGCTGAACTTACATTTCGCATATTCTGTCTTAGTCCTACTCAACTTGAAACCTTTAAACTCCAAGTCCTGCCTCCATACCTCCAGTCTCCCATTCACGCCGCCTCGCGTCTCATCAATCAGAACTATATCATCAGCGAACAACATACACCATGGCACCTATCCTTGGATATGGTGTGTCAGTGCGTCCATCGCCAGAGCAAATAAGAACGGGCTGAGCGCAGATCCTTGGTGTAACCCCATAACAACCGAAAAAGGCTCTGAGTCACCTCCCACAGTCCTAACCCGGGTCATAGCTCCATCATACATATCCTTTATCGCCCTAATGCAAGCCACCAGCACACCTTTCACCACAGACACCTCCAAAGGACGTCCCTAGGAACCTTGTCATACGCCTTCTCTAGGTCAATAAACACCATATGCAAATCCCTCTTCCTATCCCTGTATAGTTCCACCAACCTCCTGATAAGGTGGATAGCTTCCATAGTAGAACGGCCCGCATGAACCCGAACTGGTTTTCCAATATAGACACCGCCCTCCTTATCCTCCCTTCCACCACCCTCTCCCACACTTTCATGGTATGACTTAGTAACTTGATACCCCTATAGTTGTTACAATTCTGGATATCCCCTTTGTTCATCCTCATTTTCTATAATTTTTATTTCCTCCATATCGACTTCTTCTAATATGCGTTGAGGATGCTCCAAGTAATTTTCTAACTGATCACCCACCATTTGGTTAACACTTGAGGTATCGTTTTGGTAAGAACCATCTAGCACATTCTCAACTTCCATTCTACCAACAGGCTTTGTTTTGATTACAGCCAACCAATCAGCCTTATCCCTCCGCAATGGATATAGAGCATAGTACACTTGCCTAACTCTTTCTGCAATTATAAAAGGATCATAGCGATCATACTCCCTCTTTTTATTAACCTCAATTTTGTTGTACTGCGAGTGTACATTTGTACCTCTTCTAGGTGTTGGGTCAAACCACTTGCATCGTAAAAGTATGATCTTCTTATTTGGTCAATCTGAATATGACAATTCTAGAATCTCTTTGATCATACCACAAAAAATCATTTTCCCCATCCTGGTTGCCTTCACCACCTTTGACACATACCCTAGTGTTATTGCTTTTTTTTTTTATACTTGGAGCATTCCTCGATGTGAAATTTGTAACCATTCACATAATACTTAGACATAGCCGTAATCGTAGGTGCAGGTCCCCAAGATATGTCTTTCAAAAATTGCTTAACACCGTTGTTTGGATTAATGACCTACATGTAGCGTCAAATAAATCAAAAAGGAGCAAGTATATTCACAAGCATGTATATTCATATGTGAGAAAGTATGTAAGATGCACTTACACACTCTTTAAACCATGCCTCAAATGTAGAATATACAACACCATGACCAAATTGACTCACGAAGTCACTTAGCGACGCATTGAAAATTATTTGTTAGTTGCATCAACCAAATTAAATAGTAGCCCATTTAAATTAATCTTACGTCAACACTTACTTAAGAAAGGGTTGAACTTCCCGACAATTTAGCAACACATGATTTGAAGTTGATTTGTACTCCATACTTCTTAGGCCCCTTTTTGTTCGATCTTTAGAACCTCGGCCTGGTTGATTGAATATGGACATTGGTGGATATAATGGATCAATCTCAATCACGACATTGTGCCGATTGGGCCTATTTCTAGCACATGGCACATGACTGTCAAAGTGGTAAGAATAAAAATGGGCAGTTTCCTTTGCAAGATAGGCTTCGCATATGGATCCTTCAATCATATTCCTCTGTTTAACAAATCGTTTACACTTGTCGATAGTCCTGCACATCGTCATATAGACGATAACGTTAAAGAAAATTACAAGAATAAATTAAGATTTGATCATTACCTCTCGAATGGATACATCCACCTGCATTGAACCGGCCTCCAAGTCGCGCCTCGTGTACAAGGTGAATTGGAAGGTGTTCTATCACATCAAAGAAACCACATGGATAAATCCTTTCCAGCTTATTACTGATTACAAGAATGTTCCGATTCATTTTGAAAATTATGTTTTTCTTCCTTAATTCGTGGGTGTGTTAGAGACATAAGTCTTTTGAAGAACAAACATATCTCTGTGATGGTTTCCATATATTTTCAGCAAACCACAAAATGCAATAGGGATAAGGTTTATATGAAGATATGACAGTCATGACTTTTCATATTGAGTAGCTTTCTATTATATATATATAAAATAAGTATTAAATATTATTTATTTAAAAGATATTTATTATTTATACACAAAAATATTATTAAATTTATATTTTAATTATTTTAAAATCATGTTTCCGACCGCACTCGGTCGGAAAATTTAATATAAGCTATATTAAATTTGTCCTTGGGCAGGAAAATTAGTTTTCAAACTTTCGACCGAATTCGGTCGGAAATTTGGAAACTTTTTATAAAAAATAATATTTTGTACATTATATACAAGTATTGACCAGGTGTTGGTCAAATATTGACCAATTTTCCCGAAAATCGACGAATTTTTTATTTTTTTTTGCTGTGGAACCACTATTTTCGTGTGTCAGAAAAAAAATTGTTGACTTTTACGACCAAATACTTAATTTCTGGCCGATTTCCGGTCGATAAGCCTTGGTGACGAAAAATGCCATTTCTTGTAATGTGAGTATCAAACCTTGAACTCGTAAGGTGTAAGTAGTAGCTCTACCACAAACACTCTATTATTGAGCCATTCAATTCTTTAATTTTAAGGCATTAAACACCATGTAAGGTGCTCTATTCTTTTCATGTATTATATATGCACAAAAAGAGAAAGTTTCTTGACGTATCTCGTCTTAAAATGTGCGATTAGTGTAATCTTTATCAATTATTTTGCTATACTAGCTTAAAATAAGAATAAAGATAAGTATTGTCTCAAATCTCAATAAAACCTAGAGATAGCAATAAGAACAATCTAAGCCCCCATTCCACCCACACCCCGCCATAAATACTTTACTTATAATAGCAAGGTGGTAAAAGCATCTTTCTAAATATTACTATGAAGGTGGGTGAGGCTCTATCATTTTTTTTTTAAACATGACAGAAACAACAAATATAGAGTAATTTGTGTGCATGTTATGCCCTTTCTAATCTATCCATAACATGTCAATGATACTATATCTCTTCATTTGTTTTTAATCCCTCACTTTAGAAAAAAGAATGTCTGGAGGCGAAGAGCGTGCCGGAAGCTACAATCAAAGCGATCCAAGGAACATGTACGATGGAGCTAAGACTAGGGTTAGGACGGTGGGGGGTGGCGACTCAGACCATTTCCCGGTGGATGGGGCTTCATCAAGGATCTGCACTTAGCCCTCTCTTATTGCTTTGGTGATGGATGCTATAACACGCCATATTCAAGGGATGTGTCATGGTGTATGCTTTGCTGATGACATAGTCCTGATAGACGAGTACGAGGATCGGTGTTAACGAGAGGTTGGAGGTCTGGAGAACAGACTCTCGAGTCCAAGGGTTTCAAACTAAGCAGGCTAAGACAGAGTACCTGGAGTGCAAGTTTTAGCGCCGAGCCGAGCGAAGTAGGCAGGGACGTCAAGCTTGGATCTCAGGTCATCGCCAAGAGGGACAGTTTTTAGATATCTTGGGTCGGTGATTCAGGGGACGGAGATATCGACGGGGATGTCACTCACCGTATAGGGGCGGGGTGGTCGAAATGAGGCTTGCATCAGGAGTCTTGTGTGACAAGAAAGTGCCACAGAAACTCAAGGGGAAATTTTATAGAGCTGTGGTTAGACCTGCCATGTTGTATCGGGCTGAGTGATGGCCGGTGAAGAACTCCATGTCCTAGAGAATGAAGGTTGCGGAGATGAGGAGCTCAGGTGGATGTGCGGGCTCACCAGGTTTAGATAGGATTAGGAACGAAGTTATTCGGAGAAGGTGGGGTGGCCCAGTAGATGAGAAGATTCGGGAAGCGAGGCTCAGGTGTGTACGGCATTTGTTCCGGAGAGAAGCCCCGATGCCCCGGTGAGGAGTTGTGAGCGGCTGGCGGTGGTTGGCGCGAGTCGAGGCAGAGGGAGGCCCAAGAGGTATTGGGGAGAGGTGATTAGGCAGGACATGGCTAGAATGCGGATTTCCGAGGACATGGCCCTTGATAGGAAAGTCTGGAGGTCTAGTATCAGGGTTGCAGGATAGGGGCTTCTAGAATTTTTCGTACTTCTGTCCCGGGGCTGGGGGGCGGGGGGGTTTGGTAGGGCTCTCCATAGATGATCTGTGTATTGTATTGTGCCCCCTTATGGTAGTTACTGGTCGATATATTTGTATGCCATTTTATTTATGGTTTATGTTTAGATAATTATCTATGTGATCTCTGCTGCAGTTACTAATGCTCTTTTGCTTTTTGTTTTCCTTTTCCTTTTCCTTTTCCTTTTCCTTTTCCTGAGCCGAGGGTCGACTGGAAACAGCCTCTTTGCCGTTTCGGGTAGGGGTAAGGCCTATGTACGTATTACCCTCCCCAGACCCCACCTTGTGGGACTATACTGGGTAGTTGTTGTTGTTGTTGTTTGTACTTTAGAAAAAAGACAATATCTCAGTTCTGACAGGTTGGTTATAATATGGCATACCAAGGGCATATTCGTCCAAAAATCCAAAAAACAAAATCAAAAAGAAAAATTCTGTAGAGCTAAATAAACAAAGGCAAACACCCTACCACCAAACCCCATATCCTCCATTGCTACTTTTTCTCCCATTTCCCGCAAATGAAGAAAGCTGACTTCTATTTGTTATAATCTCAAAAACCAAGCCAGACTTAGCCAGTTTTTCATATGCTTTTTTCTGGTTTGGTGATCAGAAGACTTACCATTTTCTCCTTGCTAATCGGTCAAATTTTCGAAAAATGTCTCGTTCTCAAGTTCCTCACGGGCTTAAGGAAGAAGAATTCATAGAGCTGGAGCCATTGATTCACAACTACCATACCTTTGATCATTTGCCAAACACTTGCACTTCACTTATAACTCAACGTATTGAGGCGCCGGCAAACGTCGTGTGGCCTTTTGTTCGGCGTTTTGACAACCCCCAGAAGTACAAGCATTTCATCAAAAGCTGCAAAATGACAGGTAATCAGAGACGAATTTAAGACTCTCAGAGATTAAGAACCTTTCTTCCCGAGCCGATGGTCTATCGGAAACAGCCTCTCTGTACTATCGGGATAGGGTTAAGGTCTGCATACACACTACCCTCCCCACACCCCACTGAGTGGGACTTTACTGGGTCGTTGTTGTTGTTATTACAAAGATTAAGAACCTAATAGGGATATTCTTACTGGTATTAGGTCATTAGGGAAAAACCGTGCGAACTTGAATCGAAATGAATAATATCACACACCATGTTAAAAGTATATTTTTGGCTGATTTAGCCTAACACATGCACTCATTCTACCACCAAAACTTGTAGTCTAGGGCCTTTGAAAGTTTGTTTTCACACATTAAGTGTGAATTTATTTTTCACTGCCCACCTCCCACCCCACCCACCCAACCAATTAATAGGAATATTTTTTATTTTTTTTGAAATACGCTCATTCTAAACTTATTGACTTTAGATAGTGGATTCGTTGTGCAGGTGATGGAGGTGTTGGAAGCATGAGGGAAGTGTCCGTAGTGTCGGGAATCCCAGCATCGACGAGCACGGAGCGACTGGAGATTGTGGACGATGAGAAGCATATACTGAGCTTCAGGGTGGTAGGGGGTGAGCATAGGCTGAATAATTATAGGTCAGTTACATCAGTGAATGAGTTCAAGAAAAATGGAAAAGCTTACACTATAGTATTGGAGTCATACATTGTGGATATACCAGAAGGAAATACTGGGGAAGACACAAAAATGTTTACAGATACAGTGGTGAAATTGAACTTGCAGAAACTTGGGGTGGTGGCAATGGCGGCGCTGCATGGGCACGAATGAGGGTGGTGGACGGTGGTGGGCGGCGGTGATTAATGGCGGTATCTTTTTATATTTTTATTTTCTGCTTCTTCAATTTTTTTTTTTCCAGAAATAATAGAAGGAAGAAAATTTCTCTTTCAATTTGAAAACTATTTCTTAATGGTCAGTATCGTTTTTCTTGTAAGTTGGAAATTAAATTAGTTTGTAGTATATTTTTTTTAAGTTTATTTCTCTTTTTTTTGGTGATTGTTACATTATTACTTCTTGTTTGCCAACTATGAGTATCATCAATTTCTTTTCTTTAATGAATTATTATTAGTTCGTTGGCTTCATCCTTTGTATTCTCTCTCAAGTTGCAAGTTAGCGGTGGAGTTGGTTAATCCATGATAAGTATCCAAATTATGTAGTGACAGTTTGAATTTCGAGAGTTAAATTAATTTTAACCACAAATTCGTATATAAAATTTTCAAGTTTTTTGAAATAAAATTTATACATTTAAAAATTACAAAAAAATATTTTAAGTCACAATAATTAATTCAACTCCAAATATTAGTCTAATTTCGAAATTCGAACTGCATCAGATAAATTGAGGTAAAGGGAATACATTTTTATATTTGGACAAGATACTCATTGAGAATGATTTAAGCAGCTCGAACTAAGTACCAGAAAGGGTGTTAGATGGGTTAATTCTAACGAAAATCAAAGTACCATAATTAGTGTTATATGGGTGGTTCAAAATTCAAATAAGAAATTATTTTTGATATTAAATTGTTCTTGAGATTACCATCTTTGTCATGTAATAACTGAGAATTCAGTTGTAGCACATGGTATAGAATTACCATCTTAAAATTTTTGAGATGCAAAGATTTGATTTTCACTATGAAATTTTTTTCCACTCTTCAAAAATGTCCTGTAATTTACCACCAGTTAGCTAATGTTTTGGCATTTAATTTCATATAAGCTATATATACAAACAATATATATACACCATATCTTATGAAATAATTATACACGAGTGCCTGAGTGACTGAGAAAAATGTAGGGCTAAACTAGCCCAAATACACTCTTAATATGGTGTGATATTGTCCGCTTTGGGCCAAGCCCGCACGGTTTTTTTTCCAAAAAGGCCTCACACCATTAAGAGATCCCTATACCTTATATGTAAACATCCAATCTTTTCAGCTACCAATGTGGGACTTTGTTCGCACACCCAACAATCTCCCCCTCGAACTAAGTTCCACGTGGCCCACTACCACGATTCACGGGTCAATTTTCGAGTTTCACTGTGTGCCACCCACATTGTTAGAGTATTATGGCAACCGAAGCCCGCAACTAGCGTCTTCTTGTGTGTGCACCGCCCTGCACCATCACTCTGCCATCTCCATACTCGTTCCGCTGAACTAGGGCTCTGATACCAGTTGTTAGGACCGAAAAAGTCAGGTGTCATGCGGAAGCTAGTAAAGCAAACGTTGAACGACGATAAACCACACATAACAAAGAGAAATCTGCCAAAAGAGACATGAACATTTAACGTGGTTCGGTCAACTGACCTACGTCCACAACGGAGATGAGCAATCCACTATAATAAAAGAGAGTACACAATATCGAGAGAACAACCTCACGAAGAGGCAAACACAAGTGACACACTAACACTTGTCCCGTAAAGTTCTCCCCCTAAACAAGACTCTCAAGCCCCCTATGGCTACATTGTGGATGCTGCTAAATGAGAAGGGCGGATCCTCAATTTATAGAACTCCAAACCTTTTCCTACAAGAAAAAGGACTAGCCAAATATAGGACATTTGTAATTTCCTTTTACAAAAAGGAAAACTCAATTAAGGTAAATATATTGCCCTTTTCCTTCAAGAGATATAGGAAAACCAAATATGGTAAGAAAATTATGGCAAACAACTAACAATTCTCCCCCTTGGCCTGAATTTTCTGACAAAATAAACTTGATCCACCTTCTTCACATATCCTTCAACAGGTCGCATCTCCAAATCTCAGCCACAAAATTTGTCTCAACGTGCGTAGCACTCCGGTCAAATTTCTCAGACAAAAATCACGATTATCGTCAAATATGTTGCAGCTAGAACTGAACACGCCAAGATGAACCTGTCTTGAACCTCGCTCGAAGCTAGCTCTGATACCACTTGTAAGGCTAAACTAGCCCAAATACACTCTTAATATGGTGTGATATTGTCCGCTTTGGGCCAAGCCCGCACGGTTTTTTTTTCCAAAAGGCCTCACACCATTAAGAGATCCCTATACCTTATATGTAAACGCCCAATCTTTTCAGCTACCAATGTGGGACTTTGTTCGCACACCCAACAAAAAGGAACCATGAAAATTAACAACTGGCTATACGTATGTTAAAATTAAGCTAAATATATATTTATTTGAAAGAACTGGCTGTGCGTATGAAATAACGAGATCGAACTTGATGCGTTGACTACTAATTTGCCAATTGATTCCTGATTAATATTTTCATTAGTGTATAATTCTCCTTAGGTCAGCTTTAATTTTAAAGAAACATTTCTGTTCTTTTAATGAAAAAATAGCAAAGGAATTTTTTCTTAGTATAAATGAAAGAGTAGAAACAACTTTATGCACAAAGTACGTCCTACCTAAGCTTATTAATTAATAAGGTATATGGTTTGTGGGGTGTTACATCTTGTCCCCACTTTATATGAATGAAAAGGCAAATGCCTTATCAATATTTGTGTGCTCCATAAATAAAGGTAAAGTGTTGAATTTACAGCCGATAGAGAAATTATTGAAGAGGCGGATTTATGATTTTAATATTGAAATTTATGTTTTTAAAATTAATTACGAGTTCAAACTTATTATTTATTATAATTTTAGTAGATTTGCATGCATAAATTTATATTCAGCGTAAATTGTTAGATTCAGATGAATCCAGAACCGTAATGCTGCATCCGCTTCTGAATTATTGGACTTAAAAAAGCGAGTTGTTGGAAATGACCTTTTTCTTGTATCCTCTTGAAAATCTTAATGTCAAACTCTAAAAATTTCAAAGACAACGATAGCTAAGGTTAGATATATATGAATAACTTGGGAGACTTGTGACTTTATCTTAAGGAACTTGTGACAATAAATTGCCTTTAGCCACTTATTTCTTCACTTTTGATTTCATATTTGAGGTTCACGTTTGGCATCATTATTAACAGCCGTCTCGAGAATCTTGTCCACTCATGCTATATTAGTGAGATTAGTTCTGCAAAATGATTAATGATGGTGCTAAAGAGTGATTAGAATAGGAGATAAGGAGGTATGAGAAAAGAGCTAGTTTCCATTTATCTAAAGAGAAATCCTTAGGATTTTTTTTCTTTGCTAAATAGATGGATTATTATTAATTAAGCAGGAAATTCTTAGGATTCACTACCCTATATATATTTTGTGGGTCCTAAATTAACCGAGTTCATTATGTTTCTACCTATCAAAAAGGATTATGGTGGACTATTAAAAATTTCTTCATAATTAGTCAGCAGGGGCGGATTTACATAGCCCCAAGCAGTGTCACGGGACACCCCTTCATTGAATTTTTTTACTATTTATATATATAAAATAATAAGTAAAACAGAAATACAAGATAAATGCAATAAAAGTGACACTGCTTGCAACAAAACAGCTCAGTAGTCTAGTGGTTGATAGCTTCAAGATTGATGTAAGAGGTCTTGGGTTTGAACTTCCTTGGCTCCACAAAATAATTTTTTTCTGTTCTGGGCCTCTTACTAGAAATAGTGACACCGCTTATGAAAAATTCTGCCTACGCCACTGTTAGTTAGTGATCTCACGTTCGAGCCCTAGGTGTGAAATTGGCCATATTTGTTAGGGAGCGCTTTATCTCCTTGTATACGGTCGAAGTCACATGCCCCCGGTGTAGAAGCTTGAGGTTCCGCCCTAGGTCCGAGTCCGGGAGAGGTCAAGTTGGGGGCATAGAAGCTTGAGGTTCCGCCCTAGGTCCGAGTCCGGGAGAGGCCAAGTTCGAAACCGGTGGACCAGGCTCGAGCCCGAAGACAGACCGTAATGCCCGAAGGCAGGAGTTCGAGGAATACCGAGGCCAAGTATGCTCGACCTCGGAATAGGATCGTTATGGATTTGTACCAGGGCGAGCTAGATTCTTGCCACGTCCTTGAGATCATGACGCAAATTCCGGGATAAGATCGTACAATTCCGTACTAGGCGGTTAGACAGCTGTAATAAGAATATTCCCTACTGTAAATAGAAATATTCCTTATTTAGGGTTCCTCTATTATAACAAGGGAACCCCAATCATTTGTAAGATCATCTTTTACGGAGCAAAGAATATACTCTCTACTTTTTGCCTGTTGTTCATCAAAATTATCCCTTAGCTTAATTGTTCTTACTTTGATTTTTCTACTTAATTGTTTTTACTGCCCTAAGCCACCTCGAGGTCACCGTCTCACGGTCACTGCTGCTAAGTAATATTGGTTTGATTCATTTCTATCTTTCATTTCTACTTCATATTTCTTGATTCTTAATTGGTATTGAACTAAATCACATATCTTTAAAACCACAAATCAAATTTAATTGTTACTCGTATTTTTTGAGGTAAACACTCCTACGACTTTTACAGCACGAATTCGAGTTTTATTCGGGCCTAATGCAGGTATCGAGCGCTAGATGAGAAACAAAAAAAAATACTATGCTCTTATTTGGAGCCAAAATTTCTGACTGGCGCCAATCCTTATTTTTGGTCAACTTGAACTGCAAAAGTACAGCTTGAATCTTGAGACTATATCAAAGACTTCAAATACTATCTTATAGTAAACCTAGGATTATGCAACTCCATGTTGTAATTAATAAGCTTAGTCAACTTCTATTTCTGTAATTAGTAAAATAAATCTAGATCTTTGCATATATTGATTTTTTACTTCTCGATTTTCCATAGATTGAAGGTGAGGCCTTTCCTTTTAGGGAAAGGACGCGATTTCTTGTTATCATCTTCGTACCAGCTAAGCAACATCAATGATTAGTTATAAGCACAACCCAAAGGTCAAAACCACTAGGCGTTTAATGAGGACAGCAAGAGTCAACTCATTGGAATCATACCAAATTCAAGTGGCTACTAAAATAATACTATCAAAAGCTTACTGCTATCTTGGCAGAATAATTCTCGTCTAGTTGTACCAGAATACGACCTTATGAATATTGTAAGTCGTAACATGTAGGGGGACATTTTTGTGTTTGTTAATTTATCTGTATTTTGGAGCTCTCGAATAAGTGTTTTAGTTTTATGTATTGATGGTGTAATTTCTGTTTTATATACTAAGATTATTTATTGTTGTCATATAGACTAGTTACACATGAACTTAGTTGATGGGCTTATGTTTAAAGTTAGGAAAGTTTTGTCCTTAAGAGAAAATTAGTTAGAGGCAGTTAATTGTGGGATTTATAATGCAATTGATTCTGAGTGAGTTGTTTTACAGAGAAGGTGGAGAAGAAGAAGCTCTGTATTCATTCAAGTCACGTGTATTGTGTGACTTGAATGAATACAGAGCTTCTTCTTCTCCACTTCATCTCTTCTCCACCTTCTTTGTAAAATAGCTCACTCAGAATCAATTGCATGCTGCATTTATCGAGTGGATTCAGCTGATTTCATCATGGTATCAGAGCAGCGATCGTGAATTCATCGAGATTCAGGCAAAGTTCAGGAGATCGAAGCTCCGACGAAGCTGAATTTTAGTCAGCCATGGCAAAGTTGCTTCTCTGGATCACAATCACCCACTGTTTCTACAGCCCTCAGATGCTCCAGGACTCGTCCTGATGCTGCTCAAACTCACAGGGCCAGAAAACTATGCTCTATGGAGTAAGGCGATGAAATTGGCGCTCCGGGAAAAGAGTAAACTAGGGTTTGTGGACGGAACTTGTGTGAAGAGTATGTACGGAGGAGAATTAGTAGTGCAATAGGAAAAATGTAAAGCGATTGTGTTGTCATGGATTAGGAGCACTGTATCGAGTGAATCGATGCCGAGTATCGTTTATGCGTCTAATGCAAGGAAATTGTGGAATGATTTTCAGGAAAGATTTGATCGATCAGACTTAACGAGGATTTATCACCTCTGGACAGCCATCACAACTCTAAGGCAAGGTACTGACTCTATCACTAGCTATTTTTCTAAAATGAAGGACTTGTGGGTTGAATTGGATGTATTGGTGCCATTGTCTTCATGTGACTGTGAAGAATCTCGACCCTCAGTAGAACATCTGAGATCTCAACGTTTGCTACAATTCTTATGGGGCTAAATGAAAGCTATAGAAACATAAGGAGTAATGTATTAGCTAAAAGGCCTGTTGTGACTGTTAATGAAGCCTATGCTATAGTCACTCAGGAAGAAAGCCAGAGGTCTTTAGGTGTTGTTGACACACATAGGGAACCACTCACCTTGTTAGCAGGAAGAAGGCAAGATTTTAGAGCAAAAAGGCCCGGTGTCATTTGTGAACGTTATGGGTATAAAAGGAATCTTAAGGAGAATTGCTTCAAGATAATTGGATATCCAGCTGGCTTTAAGAGCAAAAAGAAGAATCAGCCTGCAGGAGGAAAGGCCTATACTAACAATGTGAATGTCAATGCAAATGGTGAGGAAGGGAAACCAACGACTGTGCAAGTAAAAGGAGTAGGGCAGTTCTTCACAGAAGAACAATACCAACAGCTGGTCAAGTTGTTGTCAAAAACAACAACTGCAAAAAGTTCTAATAATTTTGTAGGTATAGTCACTCTATTATCCTATGCACGTATGTGTGATTGGGTAATAGATATAGGAGGAACACATCATGTCACATACTGTAAGGATATTCTAAATAATGTTAAAAGGGCAGATGATCAAGGGAGACATGGAGTACCTCCTGGAAGTAAATCATAAATAACTCACACAGGAGAGGCCCCCAAATTAGGAAATAAGATAGTAACAAATGTCCTATATGTACCAGATTTTAAATTTAACCTGCTATCAGTATCAAAGCTCACAAAGGATCTTTGTTGCTCAGTCACATTCCTTCCTGATTCCTGTAATCCAATGCCTCGAAAACCTAAGGGTTCCTCCGCAAGGTTAGTCCACGGAGGGTGAGTCAGGGCCTAAGATCAGGCCGAAAGGCGTAGTCGATGGACAACAGGTGAATATTCCTGTACTGCCCCTTGTTGGTCCTGAGGGACGGAGGAGGCTAGGTTAGCCGAAAGATGGTTATCGGTTCAAGAACGTAAGGTGTCCCTGCTTTGTCAGGGTAAGAAGGGGTAGAGAAAATGCTTCGAGCCAATGTTCGAATACCAGGCGCTACAGCGCTGAAGTAACCCATGCCATACTCCCAGGAAAAGCTCGAACGACTTTGAGCAAGAGGGTACCTGTACCCGAAACCGACACAGGTGGGTTGGTAGAGAATACCTCGGGGCGTCAATCGAAGTGGAGGGTTTCTTCAAACAACAAGGGGCAGGGTCAACTTCAATCAAATGATATTGAGCATGTTTCCCATCTCTTTTCGAGAAACGGGCGGTTGGAGTATCACATGGGGTACTGTAACAAAGCAAAATGGGAGCAGCCTAAACCATGAAAACGGGGTTGTGGGAGAGCAATAAAAGCGTCGCGCTGCTAGGCGAAGCAGCCCGAATGCTGCACCCTAGATGGCAAAAGTCTAGTAGCTGAAAACATCACTAGCTTTTTCAGGGCCTTGGCTTGTCACATGAGTTTGAATTTCATATTTCCGTATGGGAAAAGAAGTATAAATATCTTCATATACCAAACTCTCGCTAATAAGTACTGCATCTTCAGAATTCTAACCCACATAACGAATTGATGTGGTATATTCATATCATAATATATGAACAGTAAGAACTAGCATTCTTATTGAGACTATAAAAATTGATTATTGGATGGAATCAAATATGCAGTATTTACAGACAAAAGTATTCGGTTATTGGGGAAAAATCAATATACTTCTAATGTTGAATCAGGATTAACGTCAGGCTTGGGCAGAATAGCAGAGCAAGTATTAGTAGCATAACAAAAAAGCCTTCCTCGTCATTAATATCTTTGCTCGCGGAAATTGTGACCTCTCGGGAGAATCGATGACTGCATCAAAGATGCAGTGCTAGTACATCTGAGACTTCTTAATTGGCTAGTTGTAAATAGCCCCAGGGCTATGGAAGAAAGGATTATCTCGGACCTAGACTGAGGTATTGATGGTGATTTTCTAATCTCGCAGAACAGAATGTGATATGATAAGATAGAATGCAATAGAAACAAAGACAGTTAACGGGCAAACTACTCTTAACGGGCAAAGCGAGCCCCTTTATTCTTAATTCTTTAATTCAGAATCAATAAAATCTCCCCAAGTAGGATTCGAACCTACGACCAATCGGTTAACAGCTGACCGCTCTACCACTGAGCTACTGAGGAACAACAGGAGATTCGATCTCATAGAGTTCAATTCCCGTTCCCAACCCATGACCAATATGAGCTCGAAGCTTCCTTCGTAACTCCCGGAACTTCTTCGTAGTGGCTCCCTTACATGCCCCATTTAAGAGGGGATTACTTTCATAATCTCATCAGTTTTTTACTTTGCAATAACTCGGGATTTAATCCCATAGAGATGATAAATCTTTGGCCTGTAAATTCAATGAATGAATATTACCTCTCAATCATCTTGAATCGGATCAATATCATGAATAACAATATCTGAACTATAATAATAATTTCAGAATTAAATTAAAAATGCCCTTTTAACATATCTCATGATCTTTACAGTGGCATGGTGATGAGGATTGGTAGAGAGAACAATGGTTTGTACTTGCATAAGGAGAGTATAACAATGGCAGCAACAAGAGTTTTCCAGAGAAAAGGAGAAGAAACTGAACTTTGGCACTTAAGGTTAGGACATGCTTCAATGAAGGCAATGCAACATATTCTAGGGTTGCAAAATAAAGTTGATATGCAGGTACAAGAGAATTGTCAAGTATGCCCATTAGCTAAGCAATGTAGGCTAAAGTTTCCTATTAGTAGTACTAGTTTTGCTAGAATTTTTCAACTCATTCATTTAGATGTTTAGGGACCTCACATAGTACCTATATATGATAGGAAGCACTACTTTGTTGCTATTTTTGATGACTATGTAGGTATACTTGGGTGTGTCTAATTCAGTCAAAGAATGAAGTACTAGTTGTAATAAAGAACTTTGTTGCAACGATTCAAAATCAGTTTGGTGTGAATGTCAAGGTGTTAAGATCAGTTAATGGTACCGAGTTTTTTAAATCTCAATATAATGAGTTATTGACTTCTTTGGGAATCATTCATCAATGTAGTTGTCCATATACCCCTCAATAGAATGGTACAATTGAAAGAAAGCATAGGCATATATTGGAAGTGGCAAGAGCACTGAAATTCCAAAGCTTAGTTCCAATAAGATTTTGGGGAGACTGTGTAAGAACAACTATCTATCTGATAAACAAATTGCCCACAGGAGTGTTACAAGGGAAATGTCCATATGAAATGTTTCATGGAAAACCAGCAACACTAGATCACTTAACGGTTTTTGGATATGTTTGCTTTGCAAGCAATATACCTGGAGGAGATACGTTTGCACCAAGGGAAAGGAGATCCATTCTCATTGGTTATTCAGAAACACAAAAGGGCTATAGGTTGTATGATCTGGAAAGCATAAGAGTATTCATTAGCAGAGATGTAACATTCAGAGAGCATATCTTCTCTTTCAAGGAAGGAATGCAAATTGAAGAAGATATCTTCCCAAGTAATACACCATCAGTTATTCCAGCTGGACTCAGAAGAGCATAACTCATGCCTGAACAACCAGCTCATCATCCAAGCACTAAAGAGCAGATTCCAAATGAAGGAATGGCAACAACAGACTTAGAAGGAGTGGCAACAACAGACTCATAAGCCATTCCAACAGTAGCCGATTCTGAACAAGTTGTGAGTCCAGCAGCACAGTTGATGCAGACACAGTTCAACGGAGTGCACCATCAGTTGAGGTACAAGCAGACACAAGCCAACCGCCTGTAGAAGAAATGCCTGAGGACAACTTGCATACCTGAAAGTCCAGCAGAGTTTCAAGACCCTCTATTTGGCTGAAAGATCACATCACCACATGCAACTCACAAAACAAGCCACATTGTATCTCTAACTCTATTGTCTACAGTCATTTATCCAACAACTACCAGGCTTATTTGGGAGTATTTGCAACAGAAGCTGAACCTAAATCCTTCAAGGAGGCATGCAAGGACAAGAACTGGATAGAAGCAATGTCACAAGAAATTAAGGCTCTTGAGCATAATGCTACTTGGGAGATAGTTTACTTGCCTGTTGGTAAGAGAGCAATAGGATCTAAATAGGTGTTCAAGGTAAAATACAAAGCAAATGGGGAAATAGAGAGATACAAAGCTAGATTAGTGGCTAAGGGTTATACTCAATAAGAAGGCTTAGATTATCATGAAACTTTCTCTCCGGCGGCAATGATGGTTATTATGAGGACAGTGATCAGCATTGCATCATCAAGAAGTTGGATCTTATTTCAAATGGATGTGAACAATGCGTTCCTACAAAGAGGCCTCTATGAAGAAGTTTATATGGACTTACCTCAGGGCTTCCAGAAACAACGGGAGCACAAAGTGTGCAAGCTGCTTGTCACGACCCAAAACACGAACCCGGTCGTGATGGCGCCTCTCGTGAAGGACAAGGCTAGCCGACACAACTCCCAATTCATATTAAACAATTATAAGAATACAATTTAAGTCATTAACATGCTAATAATCCAAAAATATAAGTGAGGTAGCATAATTTGCGGAAAAATAATCAAAACAGCCCGACATCGGGGTGTCACAAGTCACGAGCATATACTAAGGTCTGAATGCAACTAAGAATCTAAAATATACTAAACAAAGTCTAAGGAAGGAAAGAGGGAGAAAAGCAGTGCTGCGGACGTCGGGCAGCTACCTTGCTAAACTCCGATGACTCTGCCTTTGAGAAACCAATACCCGTTACCGGATCTAGAAATACCTAAACCTGCACACAAGGTGCAGGGAGTAAAGTGAGTACTCCAACTCAGTGAGTAATAATAATAAATGCGGACTGAGTAATTAGAAATCACGTAAAGGCGCATCAACAGGCTATAAGGAAGCAGTAAAAGCCAGTAAAAGCAGTAAAACGGTGAAAATATGTAAAGTCACTTTAGTTCAATTTAAGCTTCTTCAAAATACCTTTTTAACAGTTAAGCAAGTAAATGACAGGCAACTAGAAAAGATAAACACATGAAGAACCGCCCCTCGGGCACAATATCAACAGAATCAGCCCCTCGGGCACCATACCAACAGAAAGCAGCCCCTCGGGCAAACATAAGGAACAATACCAGCCCCTCGGGCTGTATCTCATATCACAATGGGTACCCGCGCTCATTGGGGGTGTACAGACTCCGGGAGGGGACCTTTACGGTCCAAGCGCAATAACAAGCCATCTCGTGGCATAACCAATTCGGCCCCTCGGCCTCACATAATAAACAGAATCATCACACTGGGTACCCGCGCTCACTGGGGGTGTACAGACTCCTGGAGGGGCCCCTTATGGCCCAAGCGCAATATCAAGCCATCTCGTGGCATCATAAACAGGCTCTCGGCCTCATATCAATCACAAGCCACCTCGTGGCGTACAATCTCAGGTCCTCGGCCTCATTATCATAATTAGTATATCACTGCTGCAGCGTGCATCCCGACCCAAAAGTATCCTCACAATACAGGCCCTCGGCCTTACTCAGTCAGAATCTCATAAGCCCCTCGGGCAACAGTAAAACATGATACTCAGCTCAAAATATCTTTTAAAATATCATTTAAAGTATTTAAAACAGAGTAACATGGCTGAGTTTTGAAAACCGTAAAATATGGCATGACTGAGCACAAGTATGAAATTAAACAGTGAGGAAAAATATCACTAAAGATCCCCTAAGGGTCTAAACAGTTGACACGAAGCCCATATATGGCATTTAGTCCAAAATATAATAATATCAAACAATTAGCTATCAAATATGTAGCAAAATAGTCATTCGGGATGGACTAAGTCACAATCCCCAACGGTGCACGACCCCACGCTCGTCATCTAGCGTGTGCGTCACCTCAACCTAGCACCACGATGTGCAAATCCGGGGTTTCATACCCTCGGGACAATATTTAAAATCATTACTCACCTCAATCCGGTCCAAACTCTAGTTTGCAATGCCCTTGCCCTTTGAATCGATCTCCGGATGCTCCAAATCTACCAAAATCAGAACGTAACCATTAATTTATGCTAAAAGGGACGAAGCCCACTCGAAAATAATCGAAAAGCATCACAAAATCCGAAATTGCTCAAACCCGGCCCCCGGGCCCACGTCTCAAAATCCGACAAAATTAACATCAATGGAATCCTCATCCTCTCACGAGTTCATACATATCAAATTTACCAAAATCCGACATTATGTGGTCACTCAAATTCTCAAAATCCACTCTCCAATTTCAAGCCCTAGTTTCCCAACTCTTCCTCTAATTTTTCCACTAATTTTCATGATTAAACAATGGAATAATCACCATAAACACAAGGTATAAGGCCCAAGTAGCTTACCTTTACGGAAACACTTGATCCCCTCTCGAAATCACAGCTTGGAGCTCCAAAATTGCACAAAAATGGTGAACAAATGACTGAAAATCGTGAATGGGCTTTATACATTCTGCCCAGCACTTCCGCACCTGCGATCCCATAAGCGCACCTGCGCTTCCGCTTCTGCTGATTTCACTTACTCCTTCAGATTCCGCATCTGCGACCCAGGTACTGCACCTGCGGTCCCGCAGATGCGGTCAAAGTCTCCGCTTCTGCAGCCAGCACCGCTTTTGCGGTCTCCTTTATGCACCAGCGGCATTGCACCTGCGGTCACAAATCCGCAGGTGCGGAAACAACAGAGGCAGCAAATTTTCTGCTGCAAAACTCCAACTCCGACATCCCGATAACTATCCAAAACCATCCCGAGGCCCCCGAGACCTCAACCAAAAGCAAAAACATATCCCATAACCTTATTCAAACTTGTACCAAACTTCAAAACACCTCAAACTACATCAAAACCACCAAAACACATCGAATTCAAGCCTAAGGTTCTAAAATCTTCCGCATTCTGCTTTTGATAAAAAAGTATACCAAACCACGTCCGAAAGACCTGAAATTTTTCACACACATCCCAAATAACATAACAAAGCTACTGCAACTTCCGGAATTCTATTCCCACCCCTATATCAAAATCTCGCCTATCAACCGGAAAACGCTAAAAACTCAATTTCGCCAATTCAAGCTTAAATCTACTCCGGACCTCCAAAACACATTTCGATCACGATCCTAAGTCCTAAATCACCTAATAGAGCTAACCAAATCATAAAAATTCCAATACGAGATCATTTACAAACAAGTCAAAACGGTCAAACCTTTCAAATTTCAAGCTTCAAACTGAGAACTGTTCTTCCAAATTCATTCTGATTACCCTGAAACCAAAACGAATGATTTACATAAGTCATAATGCATAATACGGGTCTAGACATTCCCGAGAACTGGCGAGTGAAGTACAAAAGCTCAAAACGACCGGTCGGGTCGTTACATCCTCCCCCACTTAAACATGCGTTCGTCCTCGATCGTGCCCATAGTTATTCCCCAACAAGTCGCTGTATAAACTTACCATGAGAAAAATGATCTGAAGAGTGGTTATGACTTCTTATGTGTTTCATTTATCAATGGCAGTATACGAAAGTGTTGGAATGAGACTTTAGTTGATAAGAGGTTTACTATCAGTATTCGGTTGTTGTGTGCAGCTGCTGTGATTCGAAGTTATCGCTGCAAGTGTTTGAGTTATGAGGTATATCATGTAATTGCACCTGAGGTTGCAGGTATGGGTTATTACAGCTTGTTCGGGCTTATTCGGAGTATAGATGTGAGATTCTAATCTTGTAGATGATTTCAAAAGTGGAAATGTGGTTCTAGGTTGATGGGCTAGGTTGATTGTGAAATTTTAGTTACATTGTGTTATTGGACCTATATGAGATAGGGTGACGTGGGATCACCCCCGGGTATTTTCATGGTAAGGTTATATAGCGACTTGTTGGCTTTTGGAACAACTATGGGCACGTTCGAGGACGAACTTATGTTTAAATGAGGGAGGATGTAACGACCCGACTGGTCGTTTTGAGATTTTGTACTTCGCTCGCCAGTTCTTGGGCATGTCTAGCCCCGTATTATGCATTATGACTTATGTAAATCGTTGGTTTTGGTTTCAGGGTAATCAGAATGAATTTGGAAGAACAGTTCTCAGTTTGAAGCTTGAAATTTGAAAGGTTTGACCAAGTTTTGACTTGTTTGTAAATGATCTCGGATTGGAATTTTTATGATTTGGTTAGCTCTGTTAGGTGATTTAGGACTTAGGATCATGATCGGAATGTATTTTGGAGGTTCGGAGTAGATTTAGGCTTGAATTGGGGAAATTGAGTTTTTAGTGTTTTCCGATTGATAGGCGAGATTTTGATATAGGGGTCGGAATGGAATTACGGAAGTTGCACTAGCTTCGTTATGTTATTTAGGATGCTTGTGCAAAATTTTAGGTCATTCGGACGTGGTTTGGTATACTTTTTGATCAAAGGCAGAATGCAGAAGATTTTAGAACCTTAGGCTTGAATTTGATGTGTTTTGATGTTGTTTGAGGTGTTTTCAAGATTGGTAAAAGTTTGAATAAGGTTATGGACTATTTTTGTGCTTTGGGTCTCGAGGGCCTCGGGATG